AAAAAAAAAACATTTCTATAGATAACTCAACAAGTTTCATCCAACCATGACAAAAAAAAAAATATTGCTCAAATTACGAATTATCGACTCCCTATCAAAGTATGGTTCGACTGGATCCGAGTTCGGAAATTTAGGACTCATACAGAACAATGCAAAATATTCATTTTGTTTTTGTCGAATATTTCATCATTACAATATAAATGAATTAATTAGTTAAAAAGTAAAATCAATTGTAAAAGTGCACGATTCAAACAGGTTTAATTTTATATTTATTTCGAAATTAGTTTTTTTCGCAATGTAGAACAAATCTCAAACAGTAATACACTAAATAAATATAATCTCTTTTTTAGGAATTTTCTTTTTTTGAGAAAAATATTTAATAAAAAAAAAAGACGTAATATGTAAATTGATGTCTTACCTCTCCTATCTCGACTAGAGGTGCATCGTTAGTATCACTATTACATTCAAATGGTGGATAACTATTATCCAAATCATTGGTTTGCCGTTTTCTAACATAATGAGTATTTAAATATCTAATCGAAAGGATAAAACAAAAAAAAAGCATAAATTTTTTTTGATTAATAAATATATCTTTCATACGCATAGAGTATATTAAGCCAATCTGAACCAGTTTTATATTCCGTCCAATATTTAACATATATACTAAGCATATTCTGATCAGATTCCGATATTTCCTAAAAACGAAAAAATTTACATTAAAATTTTAATAAACAAAAAAAAAATAATAATAAATTTCAAACTTTTTTCATGGATTTACAATGATCTTCAAGAAATTTTTTTGTTTCCTCATATAATCGTTCAGCATGAGAATCTGGTGTAGCGACACATAAATAATATATATCTATTAAATAAAAAAAAAATACATAGATTTTATTATTATCAAGAAAAAAAATTGTTTTGTTTTTAATCAAACCGAAAAATCTTTCTTGCCATGTTGCTTTATTCGTATGACCAAAACGACCCATACTAATAACGGAACGAACAGTGCCAAGTACTATTGACCATTGTTCATTAAAATCAATTTCTTTTGGTTTCAGCGAAGACATTATTAATTCTAAGAAGTATTTGAAGATAAAAAAATAAAACAAAAATGTTTGTCAAAAACAAAATCTTTAGAAATTAGTCATTTCTATAAGAACATTATAATGTACCTAATTAAACGGTATATTTCTTTTTTCTAAAATTTTTCTTCACAACATAGATTAGGACATTTTTAATATCGACGAACAAGAGAATAAAATAGAACAAGTCGATAGATTATATAAAATATAGAAAAAAAGAAAAGCATACAAATAACTTTCTATATTTAATAATTAAATGTATTATATTCTTAGATTTTAATATAAATATACTTTGCACAATGATGAACCTAGAATTTTTGGAAAGATGGGACAATCATGGTCATAATACGTGATTTGAAATCAGTTCATTAGAGATCGTTTCGACTCATTTTTGGACATTTTATACTAAAAAAAATCAAAAAATATTTTAGGAGAAAAAGGTGATCGCCCCCTCAAAATCCGCCCTTGACATGATGTAGCAAAATGATGAAATCGTTTTTTTTTTGTTTAAAGATACTCTGGATTTACCCAGACTTGTCTATGGTATACAACCTATTTCAATGGATACATTTTTTTATTATTCAATAAGGTAGTAAGACTTAATTGATGTAATAGTTCTATAATTAAAAATTAGCTCTCATAAACATTTAATAAGTAATGTCAATGAACGAAGGACATCTTCTTTATTGTAGTAATAATACTAATATGATATAAATAATTTGAAATATATCTATCGATTCATGTATTGAAATGTACTTGACATTAATATTTGATCAAATGTTTGAAGGACAAACATATCTTACAATAAAAAGAACGATTTTTTTCTTCGTAATAAATAGAAAAAAAAACAGAGAGATCAGATGATACGGTGTTATATCCCTTGACTCGATGATCGAATAGAAAGGAAGGCGAGTAAAAAAAAAAGAAAACAAATAAAACTAAAGGTAGATCAGATGCATTTGTACATTTATGTTCATCAGGATATCTATCGGTCACATCTATCGACCAATCAGCAATAATTGACGATTAAGTTATGATTGGTTTAAAAATGGACAAGTGTTCTGTTTTCTTTTGACATATTTATTTGTTGATTACACCAGGTCAACAAAGAAGAAGAAGAGAAAAAAAATTTTTTTTTTTTGATCTGATTTTTTTCTTTTTTTTCCTTTCATTATAACGTCAAAACACTTCTTTTTTTTTTTTCTTCTGGTGTAAAATAGATTGATAAACACATATATACATATATCACAATGAGTACACATACTTATGGTACTAAATATAATCCTATGAATGCACAAATAAAAACATGGTCTGTACAGCGAACATTGGATCCACTTGTAGCACAGGTTTGTTATTATTGAAATATTAATATCAAGAAAAAGATTTCGAAATCTCTTAATGATTTTTGCGTACATTCTCTAGATCAGCGGCATCCACACACTTCGATGCCTTATGTGAATTAGACCAGTTAGTATATGGGGTTCTCGTTGATCTGTAAAAGAACTCAGTGGCGAATCTAGGACTTTTTTGATGAGGGCAATCATAATTATAAAACATGTTTTGAAACTCATTAGAAGTAGGATCAGGTCATTTTTGAGTCTTTCTGCTAGCAAAAACCGAGAAAAATCTTTTGAAAGGAAATGATCGCTCTCAGTCCTTCTCCTCTAAATCCACCACTGAAAGAACCGATTTTCTTTCATTAAAATCAATAATTTATTCATTTCACGAATATGTTTACATGAGTAATCATGCGTAGATAATAAAATTTTTATAACAGGAGCCATTAAGCGATGTGTAGAAGGAAACAAAATGAAAATATTTGATGAAGTTTGATAATGAACTATTGAAAAGAACAGTTTATTCAATATATATATATATGAAATGAATTCTTAAGATTATTCAAAATATTTAAACGATCAATTTGTTGTTCTATTCATACTTTTCTTATTTTGTCTATTTCAAGAATCAGAATATAAGTTAATAATACTATTTATATTATTTTACATATGAAAGTCTTCTTTAAGAAATAAGATATCTTTATTAAAAAGTCAACCTTGATTCTTTTTAAACATATGTGACAAGAAATGAAAAAGACCAGATGTGGCCTCAATAGAATTCAATTAATGTTTTCTTTTTGTTATATAAAACAAAGTTTACATACTAAGTTCAAAAGAAAAAATAATATAACAAAACTTGAAAAATATTATTTTTTTTTTCAGGTAACTACATTAATATCGGATCAACCATCAAATAAAAGAAAAGGTCGATCAAAACGAGCTCATCTACTTGTTGCTAATATTATTCAAGCAACAGAAAATTTTATTACTAAAGCAAGTGAAATAGCTCATGAAAATCCTGATATGCGTAATGATCTATTACAAAGTATGGAAGAAGTTAAACGAACAGGTAAAACAATAAACAAAAAATTCACGACGAAACCTCCATGAGTGTCTATTTGCGATTTCAAGGGTTTTTTTTTGCCTATAGATACTACATAGTGTTTTAATAAAAAGATTTTAGTTCTTATTGAGATTTGAATAAGTTTTTTCTGGACACTTCAGGTTTTCGGAAAATTCGTATTTTCGAATTTTGATCTTAAACTTTACGCAACTAGTGAACTCAATTAGACTTCCTTCCATAAAAAAATTCAGAAGTTTTAAACAGAGTCTCTTCAAGTTACGAAAATTTCAAGATATTAACCCTTTTCCATGGAGAGTGTAAACATGATGCATTTTTCTAAAAGCTTCATAGCTCAAAGAGACTTTGTTCCAAACTTCTGTATTTTTTTTTATGAAAGTTATTTCAGTTGAGTTCTCTACATGTATAAAGTCTGAGATCAAAATTCGAAAAGACGAGCTTTCCGAAAACCTGGAATCTCCAGAAAAAAAAATCTGATAACTCAGTCAAATCTTAATAGGAACTTAAATCCAACACTATGTTGTATCTATAGGCAAAAAAATCATTGAAATCAAAAAGAAACATCTGAAAAGATTCTTTCGTTAATAAATTTTCTATGTTATTTTTTTATTAAATATAAAATAGGTGATGAAATGGCAGTTTTATCAAAAGAATTCGCTGATGATCCATGTTCAAAACCAAAACGTCAACAAATGATTGTTGCAGCACGAGCTTTACTTACATCAGTTACTCATTTACTTATCTTAGCTGATTTAGTTGATGTTCAATTAATTTTAAAATCTATTCGTTTAGTATGTTTTAATTGAATTCAATTTTCTTTTTTATTTTTGTTACATTTTATAAAAAAAAAACCTAGGTTGAAGATGATTTACAACATATTCATGATGCATCAAGTCAAGAAGAATTAGTTCATTTTTATAAACAATATGGTAAAGATATTGTTGATTTAAGTCAACATGCTCAACGTCGTCAATATGTAAAAATTTCTTTCTTCTTTTTTTTTTTTTTTGTGAAGAAGAAAAATTTTTATTTTTATTTTTTTATTAAGGATTTAGTTGATCGTCTCGAACAAGAAAATTTAGCTGCTGCACGTGGTACAATAAAACGAACATCAATGATGTTATTAACGGCTTCAAAAACATATTTACGTCATCCAGAACTTCCTTATGCACGTGAAAATCGAGATTTTGTTTATAGTCAAGTACGTGATGCTGTTGGAGTTATATCATCAGTAACGCAAGGACGACCTATACCACCAACACAAACATTAAAATTAGATTCATCATTAAGTACAGTTGGAGATTTAACACGTGCATTAAATGAATTTGATGTAAGATTTTTTTTTGTTTTGTCTATTTAAAATTTAAAAAAAAATTTCTTTTTACAGCGTATTGTTATGATGAAACCGCAAAAATTTAATGAACAAATTATTCGACCACAACTTGAAGAACGTCTTGAAAGTATAATATCAGGTGCAGCATTATTAGCTGATTCATTATCAACACGTGAAGATCGTCGTGATAGAATTGTACAAGAATGTAATGCTGTACGACAAGCTCTACAAGATTTACTTGATGAATATATTCAATATGTAAGAAAAAGAATGATTGATTTTATTCTTCTTTTCTTTTTTGTTTTATATTTGTGATTATGTCATTGAATTTATGAAGATATTTTTGTTATGTTATTTGTTTTTTTTCTAGTCCAAAAAGAAAAGTTCAGATGAAAATGTTAATGCAAAAATTCAAGCAATGCAGACAAAAACGCGTGATCTAAGAAAACAGGTATATAAATCATTTTCAACTTAACTCTTTTTTTTTTGCATCTATTAGTATGATTAAAAAGGATCATTATTGATCAATTACTTTCGGTTTTTTTTTGTTCATCTGCTTTATCCAGGAGGTCATGAAATGAAGTAAAATGAGAAACATATATACCCAATCTTTGCACATATATGTGTAAATGCATATACAATGAACTAATTTCTTTGTCTGTTGTCCATCAAAATCTTCTATTGCTTTTTCTTCTTTTCTTTTCTGTATGTTCAATTATAGATGCCTACCTATTTTGTGATGGGCGTCTTCTCGTCAAAAGCGAAAAGAAAGAGAATGCAGGAAGAGCAAAAGGGCGGCACGTTCATTTATATATTTTCTAATTGTCACGAGATACGTTCAGTAAATGCCGAAATAAATATTGTCACTATCTTACTCTCTATCATTTTCATCATAATCATAATCATTTTCTCTAACTGAAGAGTGTTGATTGATTAATTCATTTCTTATATCCATCAAAACCTATCATTACATTGACTACATATTAAATTCATATTGTTTAAAATATTCACGTAAGCAATAAAGAAAAGATATGTATATTTACTTATGTGCTGGTACATCAGATCCAACACATACATCTACAAGTGTTAAAATGTATCGAGAATCATTATCATCAAGTGAATCTATTGAATGTTCATACTTAAAACCAACAATAAACAATGAAATTTCGGTAGAAAAGAATTTTTTTCTCATTAGATTTTTGGAAAAAAATCTTTTTCTTTTCTTACTAAACATTTTCTTTTTTTTTCTAGCTTCGAAAAGCGGTTGCTGATCATGTTAGTGATACATTTGTAGCAACAAATGTACCACTACTTGCTTTAATTGATGCAGCACGACGTGGTAATACACAATTAGTTGAAGAAACAGCACGTATTTTTATGGAACATGCAAGCAAATTAATTGAAGTATAACTAATAAACAAAAAACACCATGTCAAAAAAGTTTGTTTTTTCTCTTTTAGATTGCTCATGTTGCTTGTTCAATGTCTGATCAAGTTGAAGGTATTAAACTTGTTCGTTTAGCTGCTATGCAAATTCAACATTTATCGCCACAAGTTAGTAAAATTTCAATCTATAAATAAGATGAAAAAAATAAGTAAATAATTAATTAATTAATTAATTAATTAATTTTAATAGGTTGTTAATGCTGCACGAATACTTGCTGCTCGTTCAACATCAAAGGTAGCACTTGAAAATTTGGATGTTTTTCGTGATACATGGGAAAAATATGTTCGATTATTAACTGAAGCTGTTGATGAAATAACAACAATCGAAGATTTTCTTGCTGTTTCTGAAAATCATATTCTTGAAGATATTAATTTATGTATTCAAGCAATGGTTGAACGACATCCAGATCGTATGTTAAATAAATAAATAAATATATATATATATATATATATATATATATATATGTTTTTTTCTATTTAACAAAAGAGAAACAAAATATTTAATCCGTAAAATAGATGAAATAGTCAGTAAGTTAAATAATTAGTCAATTACTTAAATGATTAGTTAGTGATGAATATAACGTTAATCGAGCAAAAGCATCAATGGTCAAAACATTATATGAACTATATATAGAAAAAAGGAGAATGGTTTATTACAGATGCAACAAAGCCAAGCATTGTGGACCTTAATGTAGAACCAGTATTTATCTGATATATCATGCCGATAATGAAAAAAGTTACTGTTTATAAAATTGAAGCTGAGTACGATTATCATAAGGATGTGTGGGTGTGAATGAAATGGAAACCCATTCAAATCCACACCTTATTTAATGCAGATAAAAAAGCTACTGATAAAATCTAAATTTTTTACCGCTAATTATATATAATAAACTGACCATTTTGTAATTAAATACTAATAATTTCAATACTGACTGTTTCATCTATTTTACTGATCATTTAAATCATAGTCAATGAAAAAAAGAATCTTTTTTTTCTTTTTTCTCAGGTGTTGATCGTACAGCAGGAGCTATTCGAGGACGATCAGGTCGTGTTATTGATGTAGTTACATCCGAAATGGAAAAATATGAACCAGGAGAATATACTGATAGTGTTATGGAAAGTGTTCGTGTTCTTCGTGATCAAAGTAAATATAGATTTTATTTATTGAATAATATTATTAAAAAAAAAACTAACATGAAAATTATATTTTTTGTTTTGTTCTTTCTAGTTATGCCAAGTTTTGCTGAACGAATTAAAATAGCTATTGATACACTTCGAATGAAATCAATATATGATGATGGAAAAGTAAATTTAAATCCTATATATATGTTTAAAATAATTTCTAAATCAAATAAATTAATTTAGTATGAATTAACTGAACAAGAATTAATTGATGCATCAAGTAGTGTTTATCATGGTATACGTGATATTCGTAATAGTGTATTAATGAATCCGGTACGTTCTATTTTTCTCGTTATGGGACAGCAACCACAAAGACGACGTAATAGATCGTCGCTTAATTGTATTTTTTCATCATCAACAGAAGATTTAACTTGTACGACAAAGCCTGTTCCGAAGAGAATTATCAAATGAATATTTCGAACATAATATATCAATTAACGATTTTTTTAAAAAAAAAGAAAAGACTTCGTTTTTTTTTGACTTTCTCAGTATTATTGTTAATCAGGTTTTTATCTCAGGAGAGACGAATAATAACCATGTAAAATGGTAGAATTAATAGAGAATATACATTTCTTTTGTGAAATATAAACTAAAAGAAGTATTGAAGGATATGGTAAGATTCTTGGACCCATCTCCTTTGCAGACTGTGATACACATCTTAATAACACTGCATTACTAATTGTAATAGACATTGTCTTAAAACTGGAATCTATTTGCATTTTTTTTTAAACTACTAAAAGAGTAACCCATGAGTTTTAATACGAATTAACCCATTAACTGATTTTTTTTTGAAACTAACTAGTAGACGTTTTGCAAACTAACTTTTATAAATTCACAGATATTTAAGGATAATAGAAACTTTTGCGGACAAATATGTTTTATAGAAAACAGAAGTTGTTTTTTCAATGGCAAAGCGCAGAAAAAAAGTGTTTTCGAAATTTAAAGTTTCGTTCAAAAGTTTAGTAAGGTATAGTAAACACGAAAAGCATGAATCAACACAAAGTACAACGTTACAAATTATACATTCGTATCTCGATTCACTTCTTGTGGGATTTATAGAGTAGTAACAATCAATTCAATAACAGTGTTTAAGGAGTGGATCGACACGGACTATGAATAATGATATAATTGACACAGAGAAACATAACCAATATGAAACATCAGAATCGATAGAGAGAGAGCTTCATTCAGTACAGGATGTTAGAGTCGACATACAAAGAAAACAGAATTAAGGAATTGTAGTCTTCATCTTTTCTATAAAGTTTGCTTTGATGAGTATACTCGTCAATAACTTAATTTATCGATAAAATAATTTTTTTCTTCAGATTTATTATGATCTTATCAAAGCATGTGTCCGATAGATATATTAAATCATGTTTCTTGTAATGAATTTAGGCAATGACAAAAAAAAAGAGATTGGATAATTAGATATTTTTATCTATAGATAAGTTCCGTCCATTACAACTCAGAGAAAAATAATTGGAAGGTAGTTGTGTCATGGTAATCTGTAGTTGTGTCATGGTAATCTGGAGTTGTGTCATGGTAATCTGTAGTTGCAATTTCAGATTTTATCAGGTGATTTTCTATTGTCTTTTTTTTTTAATCTAATGATTTCTGCAAGCGAATGTTGATTTAGACAAGTCTTAAAAGTAAAGTATTTAACATGTGTTCTATTAGTCCATGATCTTTTCAATATTCTTGGTATTATTATCGAGTAGAAGAAGATTCCAAACAATGTTTTTAGAAGTCATATTCGTTCTGTGAAGCGTTCATTTTTATACCATCGGGTACAAAATAGTCTAAATTGTCATTAGAATACTTAAAATATTTTCGCTGAAAAACAAAATCACAACGATTTTTTTGAAAAGGATATTTTCTAAAATTTTCTATTTCAAAAAGATACTAAGCGATGTAGAATTTTTTCGTGGAATAATTGTGACATATTTTTAACTTCCAGCCACCTATTTGTCTTTTTCTTTTGACTTTCGCAGATAGACGATCGAGTAGATGTTAATATTTTCAATATGATACCAACAAAAAAAAATGCTTTGAAAAAAAACAAACTAGACTATTTTGTCCAGAAATAAATTCTCTATCGAATGAAGTTAGCAACAGATTTGAATGAAGTCCCGAAGAACGAGACTCGAAAAAAGTTTGTCTCGTAGGACTATAGATTTCCAACTATTTCAAAGAAACAAACAAAACTTCGATTGCATATCGAAACCTTTGTAAGATAATGAATGAGATTACTTTTTTCAAGTCGAAATGTATATTCCTTCTTAATTTTATCATCTACATCACATAATACAATTCAACTTTTTTTTTATTATTATTATTTACATAAATTTTATTATTTTACAAGTAATTAGTTATTAGTTCATTTGATTTTAATTTCAATTTTTCTAATCATTTAATTTTTTGTGTGTATGTATCGACATGTGAGCATATAAATATAAAGTAAAGAGATATTCTATTTATTGGGGTAAGTTTTTCTTCATAATCAGTTAAAATATGCTTGCATAGAGTAAACAATGGATAAGGGTAAACAAAAATGCTTCGGCTGTGGTGGCTTTAATTTCTCGAGCTTACATATATACTCATCATTATTTATTTTTAATTATTAATATGTGTTAAATTAAGAATATTTAATGTTTTTATTTTTCTTTTTGGGGGGGAATAGGATCTTGAATGGCCAAGTGATGATGAAGAAGGATTAAATGATGAAATTTATGCTCCATCACAAACATCAAGTCATGGACCATCATCAGATGGTCAACCACCTGATCTTGAAATGTATCCAGGCAAAAATGATAATCCCAGTCGGGTATGAATAAAATAAGAAAATTTAATAAATTTTTTTTTTTTGTTTTTTAATTATTAATTAGGATATGATGAGACGATTACCAAAAGAAGAGCGTGAACAAATTGAATTACAAGTTGAAGGATTTAAAAAAACAAAACGTGATTTTGAGCGTGAAGTACTTAAATGGGATGATCGTGGCAATGATATTATTGTTCTTGCTAAGAAAATGTGTATGATTATGATGGAAATGACTGATTTTACACGGTAAACAAAAAATCTCTAATTTACAGAAAAAACAAAAATAAAAATTTTATTTTTGATTACAGTGGTCGTGGACCATTACGTACAACAATGGATGTTATTAATGCTGCTAAAATGATTTCTGAATGTGGTTCAAAATTAAATAAATTAGCAAAAGATATTGCTGCTCAAGTAAATTATTTAATTTTTAAGTTTATAAAATATTGAGAAATATGATTTTTCTTTTATTTCTAGTGTGTTGAATCTCAATCAAAATCTGATCTTGTTGCTTATGTTGATCGTAAATAAAATTAATTATTTTTTTGTTTTCTTTTGTTTATATTGACATTTAATTTACTCTTTTATTTATTCAGGTATCACTTTATATTGTCATCAATTAGATATTACAAGTAAAGTTAAAGCTGATGTACAAAATATTAGTGGAGAATTAATTGTTAGTGGTGTAAGTGTATTTTATTTTATTTTTACTTTCAAATTTTAATCGACTTGCTTTTTTTTCATATTTAGCTTGATAGTGCTACGTCATTGATTACAGCAGCTAAAAATTTAATGAATGCTGTTGTACTTACTGTTAAAGCATCGTATATTGCATCAACAAAATATCGTAACAAGTCAGGCAATAAAGAGGTAACATTGATTTAAGGGGACTCTGTCCGTTTACATTACCCCAAACAAAATTGTTTGTTTTTCGATTTTCAAGTTTCCATTTCAAAAGATATATTGAAGTGACCTGTATCAAGTGCCGTAAAAATTAAAATTATACCAAGCGACATAAGCTCTGAAAAAGTTTAACTTAGAGAATGCCTATTTTGACGAAAAGATCAGGCGTTTTGTAGAAGGCAATCTATCTTTTTTAACAGACTATCGTCTTGATAATGAGAAAATGTATGTCTAAGCGCTAGAAGCGTTTGATTGCTTAGTATTTTTATGAGTACTTTGGTCAAATTAGGGTACGTCTTTTTTTTCTTCAAAATGTTGTTCTTACAAAATTCATCAGCCTTTAAAAGATTAATACTATTGAAAAAAACATGCGCCGCGATTTGATCCGACCTATCATAAAAAATTGCAGCACGAAAAAAAATGAAGAATAGAGTTTTGGCGGGGAAGGAAAAGCTTCTGGCCCTTTTCGACCAACGTATCTCTCTGAAGAAAATATTTGGGAATTTTGAGTCTATGACAACTTTTGATCTACTTACTGAGATCTATCTGCCTTAAAAGTTTCGTGATTTTGTGTTGAGTCGCTTCCGAGAAACCTCGCAAAGGGAAGGATCTGCTTAATATTTGATAGAAAATTTTATTTAATTTTTTTGTTTTATTTAAGCCGATTGTTCAATGGAAAATGCGTTTACCAGAAAAGAAACCATTGGTTTTCATTGATCGACAAAATGAATCAAATTCACGTTCAAAAAAAAACGCAACTAAAAAACGTCTTGAACCAATACATGTTCTAAGTGAATTTCAAAGTTAAAATTCACTTAATATTATATAAGAAGAATTTTGTCAGATTTATATTAGTTTTTTTTTTAATTGAATTTATCTCATTTATTTGTGCATAATTTTCATTTTGATATAAATCTTGAAAAGCTCAATTATTCATCATTGTTTTATTGTTTGATATCAATACATAAATCAGATTAAGAGAATTTCTTTTTTTTTTTGTGTTGTTTGTTTGTTTGTTTTTCTTGGAATCAATTCTTTTGAGTAAAATCTATGCTGCTGTGCTGATAACTTCATATTGTTCGTCTTCTTTGTTTTTTTTTGTGAAAAATATACACTTCCAATGCTTGAGTTTTTTTTTGTTTGATGTGCATTAGCTTTATCTATTGTTCTTATTTCTTCTAAATGTAAGTTAAAATTTTGCTCCATAAATATAATGACATACTTACCAAAGCAAGAATGAAAATCTCTTTAGAAAATATGTTATAAAAAAAAAATTCAAATTATTCATGATGGGATAGTCGATTATGAATCAAGTGAAAATTATCATTCATTTAATCTCTACAAATAGGAAGTGAATTTAATTCAGTGGTATTTTTTCTTCTACTAACGAGAGAATACTAGTAGGTGTCGGTTCGCTTTTCAACTGGAACTTAATGCATCTTGTAAATCTCAGTGAACTATATTCAGCATAAAAGAAGAGTTTATGCTGATGGCTTGTTTCTCAAGTGATCAAACATTTTTTAGTTGCACCGAGATCCTATTTTCGAATTTCAACTTGAAACTTGATCGATATAAAGATCTCCGTTAGACTAGTTTCTACAAAAAAAATTCAGAATTTTCGCACTAAGACTCTTCGAAATATGAAACTTTTAAAAAATACATATGCGTATATACTATTTATGGAGAAAGATCCATACCTGGAAAGTTCCATGTCTTGAAGAGACTTAGTCTGATAATTCTGAAACTTTTTTATTCAAGCTATTCTAATTGAAATCTTCATCCAGGCCAAGTTTTAGATTGAAATTCGAAAATACAGTTTTCCTACAGATATAAACTCCTCCAAGGAGGGAAAAAGCGAAGATTTTGTATTTCAGCATACTTCAAGCGTATGTTAAAGATATTTTAAATCTACTATCATCATGTATCACGACCATATCAATCTATATAAATCTTTCTGATAATAAATCCCAAATATTTCATCGTACTTCACTAATACTCATATCTTGAAATACAATGAAGTATTTAGGATTGATTGCCAGACGCACTTATATAAAATGAGCTCAAACTAATATACACATGACACACGATGATAGTAAACTTGAAATAGCTATGAAGTTCTAAAAGATAGCTTTCATATACCTTTGAAGTGCACTGAAGTACAAAATCTTCACTTTTTTTCGCTCCTTGGTACTCTTATAATGAAAACTCATTAAACACATTCGATCTCTTCAGAAATAAGCCATACACACGAGCTCTTCTTCAAGATAGACATAAGGTCTCCAAGATGCATTAAGTTCCAGCTGAAAAACAAACCGATATTTGAAAATATTTCTTCGAAATTAAAACACCTTAGAAGCTCTACAACGGCAACCATTATAATTTAAATATTTATCGATATACTCATTTACGATCTATTTAGTTATATTGTTCATTTTTTTTAGACTTTCATGTTGAAAATTAAATATCATATTATATATTAGACCATTTGAAGCATTTATTTATATTTAAGATACATCATGATATACATGGAAAGATATTTATCAAAGAAATATAAAAAAGAGAAAATATCATCATTCTATTTATCTGACATGTATATGACTATGTTAAGATCATTGTCTAAAATTTTTCTACACAATATCAATTGTCTATGTCTGTTCAGTCTAAACAAAAATCAAGAAAAATTATTACAAGAAAAAGACAACATTTTATTTTTCTCACTTGTCCGGCTTGTAAATTACCAAAATTAACATAATCTTTTGTAGTTGCTGCACGATATTCATCCATAAGTTGTTGCACAACCTATAATTATTAAAACATACAACAATTGTTGTTTTTTAATTTCTTGCAAAGAAAGCGAAAATTAATTTCTTTTTTGTTTTTGTTTCTTACTTCACGTGAATCATAAAATTCATCAAGATTATCTTTAAACATAGGTAATCGACGAAAATTTTCTACGAATGCTTCACGTTTAATTAATTTATCATAATGGTCACAAATACGATCAAATAACTAAATAATTCAATTTTTATTCAATTTGATTTTTTTAAAGAAATATATAAAATACATACAGATGAAATGCCTGTATGATTAGCAAGCATAAGTCCACTAACACGATGTTGTGTTGTAATATAAGGTGATTTTTTTGAAAGAGCTACTTGAATTGAAGCTGGACCCCATGGTATAAAATCAGCTAATTTTCGTTCACGAATACGCATTAAACTTTTATGAACCTATTATTAATAAAAGTATTGATAAAAAATGATTAAAAAAAAAGCAAAATAAAACTACCTCCGATGGATCAACTTCACCTTGAATTATATTTAATATTGAAACATAACAATGTGTTACATTACGATCACGAGCTGCTGTTGTTACCATAACATTTTTCGGTTGTAATAAACGACGCATTACATCAAGAACAGTTGTTTTACGTACTTCAGATTCCTATTTGTTTTATATTTTATTTCAAAAATAATTCATTTATTTCAAATTATTTTCTTATTCTTACTGTATTATCTGATGTTAATGGAGTATAAGCAGATATAAGAAAATGTAAACGAGGTGTAGGAATAAGTGATGATATTAAACTAATTAAATCATTATTCATATAACCTGGATATCGAAGTGTTGAAGTACTACCCGACATAATTGTTGATACCTTATGAATACAAAATTTATCATTAAATGAATATTAAAAATATATTTAACAACTAACTAATTGATTAAGTTCAGCAAGTGTTGGTGTAGTCTTTTTAAGACGTTCAGTAGCTATACGATTTAATGCTGTATTATCTAATACAACCTAGTATGACAAGAAAACATGGAATAATTAGTAAAATAAGAAAAAAAACTCAGCTTATTCGAAATATAATTATCTTACTGTGCAATCAGCATTTTCAGTTAATCGTTTAAGTGTTAATACTGAATTGTATGGTTGAACAACAACATCTGCCTAAATTATAAAGTTTACAAAAAATTTTTAAAAACTTTTACAAATTTTACTTACTACTTCATTTGTCATAGGAAAGACAGAATAAGTTTGAATTAATTTTTTTGGAAATCTATTAGATAATAATAATAAAAGAAAAAAAAACACTTCAAGTTAGTTTTTATGATTTTGAATATATATATATATATTATTCTTACCGATCATTAAGTTTTTCAAGAATATTACTACCCATACCAGAACCTGTACCACCAGCAATAGAATGACAAAGAACAAAACCCTGTACAAAAAAAAAAAAAATTAAAAAACTAAAACAAATAATTTTTCATAAATAAATTTTTTACTTCAACAGAGTCACCATTATCAGCTTCTCGATCAATAATATCAAATATTTCTTCATACAATTTTTCACCTTGATAAAAACCTTGTGCCCAATTATTACCTAATAAAGATAATTAAATTTTTCACCAAGAATAATATTGATCAATTAAAAACTAACATACCAGCACCACCACCATCTTTGGATATATAAACATTTTCAGGATTATATAAATGTTTATATGGTGATTTCATAATACCATCAATAACACGAGGTTCAAGATCAAGTAAAACTGCACGTGGAATATAATGTTGATCATCTGCCTAATTAAATTAAAAAGGATTGATCTATATTATATTTTATTTATTTATAAAAAAAATGATAACAAACTTGATAAAAAAAGACATCTTTTCGATCTGAACCTTCAGTTGCAAATGATTCTAATTTTCCTTCAGGGCTAATACCATGTTCAGCACATAGTTGTCTCCAAAATTCCATACCAACTAATAAAGAAAACAAATAAATCTTTATTTAATATCATAATTAAAATTTTTACAAATATACATTCTATTTTTCCATTTTAAATTCTTTTAAATGCTAAAGTAGTATTTTAGAATGGTTCATCAAAATAAAGATTATATTGTCAGAAAATTTTGAATTATTACATCAACAAACTTCTTCTAATTAAAACTTAATATTTATTAACTATTATTAAAAGAAAATTCAATATTTTAGATAATGAGAAAAATAATTTTCTTTTACCAAAGAACCTTCGTAGACTTTAGAATGTCACAATTATGACATGTTTTTTTGACATTTATAGTTCAAAATGAAAATGAACTATTTAAGGAAATAAACGTTTTTTTTTCTTAAGTTATATTTGTAATTACTTTTTCTTTGATAAGAAAAAAACTGTTTCTAAAAATAAAACTCATGTTTTTCATTATGATTTCAATTTTCCATACAAAAACAATTCTTCTGATCGATTAATTTCTACGGCTCATTAAAAAACTATTTGTTTCACTATTAACTGCTAAAATAAAATGAATCATTCCAAAAAAAAACCTTGATTTTTCTTTCTCTAATAATTAACCATTACTCCAATTTCACTTACTTTGATTTCCACATTGTCCAAGTTGTAACGTAATAATTTCACTAGGCATCTTCACTTTCTTTCTTTCGTTTTTTTTTTTTTGGAAAAAAAATGATAAAAATCTTCAAACAAAAGACAGCAAGTTTAATAACTGCATAAATTTTTCTGTAGTTATTTTTTTTTTGTTGTTATCTGTTTACTTATTTCAAAAAAAAAAAAAGGAGAAAAAGAACAAAAGAAAAGAGCAAACGATTAGAAAGAAAGAAGAAAGAAAATCATAGACAACACTTGAAAAAAAAACCAATAATGCTTGAATGAAAACCAAAAGAAGAGAAAAAAACGAAAGAAAGAAATCATGTTTGTATATGTGCGTATTTATTGTATTGTTAAATCAATCAATAAGTCAAAAATTTTTCTTTTTTTGTTTCTCTTTTGAATATGAATATACAAATAGAAGTAACAAGAAAAGAAAAGTTTATGAAAAAACAAACTCCACATAAACCTATATTAGATGATTGAAACAATCTATTTATTTACGCATTTTTTTTAATAACCAAATCTTATCCGAATCGTACACACACAATACACACTGATTACAATTGATCAAGACAAAAAAAAAAAAAAGAGACAACGAACAAGAACAAAAAAAAAAGAAACTAACATCCAACCAAATAAACGTCAAAGCCAAAGTTGTTAAAGCGCACACAATCAAAAAAAAACAAAAATCCTCAAGATCTTCTAACGTTTTCACACACCGGCAAGGAAAAAAGAACCGAATATAGGATAAAAAAAAAAGAAGACAATTTATTTAGAACGTATAATAAAGATTTGGTGCCTATCTGTAAAAATTTATTTCTGTAAGAACCCAAGGGATTAATGTTTCTGAAATCTTGTCTTTTTTTTTCTTTGCTACAACACATGTGCGCATCAAAGAAACACAAAAAAAAACACACAAGAAAAATAAAATAAAAACTAAGTCATTGAACATGAATATGAGTGTGTGCATTATATATATATGTATATAGATTTATTTATTTATTTATTTATATCTAGATTTTTGTTTTGTTAGCTTATATTTGATGCTATTTTATTTTTTTCTAGTTACCACAAGAAAAAAGAAAATAACCGAGTGAAAAACCGAATAATAGTGCAATAACAAAAGCCACAAGAACGAGTTGTTCATTTAAAGCAATACCAAAGAGTACAAGGCCTTTTTGTTGTTGTTGTTGATTTGATTTATATCGATCAATAACTGGATTATCAATACGATCACTACCTGTACTTCTTTGTCGTAATTCTTGTTGTTTAAGTTTTTCCTAGAAAAAAAATAAATAAATAATTAAATATAAAATATACAATTCAATAAATATACAAGAAAGAAAAAAAGTTAACATTAATACTATTAAAAATAATAAGTATTACAATTAATTAAATAAAATTTTCCAATACAAAGAGAATAATGATTGCTATAAACATGATCATAATTGAATTGTCTCGTCTCCTGAGAATTTTCATCAATGTTAACAAATATTCATACACAAATAATCAAAACAAAAATTTTTTTTTTCAAAAACAAAAATAAAACTTAAGAAAATAATTACAGAGCAAAAGAGAATATTGAAAATTAAAATGACGAAAAAGAAAAACGTCTAAGCACATGATACATACTTTTAAGTTTTCATTTTCGTCTTTCAAACGATCAAGTTCTTGTTTAAGACGTAATTTATTTGAATCATCACTAACATCCTACAAAATAAATAAATAAATATAATAAGATATATTCTATGAAAATCATCATCAAAGTGTTAGAAAGATTTAATTTTAAGTATATACGCAATACGCTCAAGAAAATGTAGACAGCTGAGCAAAAAATGAAGAAAAGTTTTGAATTAATTATGTAATAGAAAAAAAGAAAGATCGTATATTAATCTATAATCAAAGAATAATTTTAAGATAAAAACCTGTTGACGATCTTGATGTTGATTTTGCAAAGGATTTGTATCTCGTGATGTATTCGTAACTGATCGTTGATTTAAACTTGCTGATGTTGGTTGTTCATTTTTATTAGTTTGTTGTTGAGGACGATTATCAACAGCATTTGTCGATTGAGTCTAAACGTGTACGATATTCAAAAAAATAAAATAAAAACAAATAGGTTCATTTTATTATCAATGTTAAAAAGAATCAAGCAAGTTTCTCACTTATTAAGCAATACAAAAAATTCAATTTACTTACAGGACGTGTTGATGTCTAAAACAAAAAAAAAAGTTTGTTTTTTTTCCTAAAATTTTGATCTATATTAACTTACTGTTTCAATATCTTTATGTCCATATGAATCATTTGGTACAACAGCAGCTGGTTGGTCATCATTAAAAATACATTTTAATTTTGAATCATGTACGTTAAGTTTTGATAAATCTTGCTTCCACTAAAATAAAAATATAATTTTACTTAATTTTTTTCTTTTTAAAATTTAAATTTTATCATACAAAATTTTCTACATCATCCGAATAACTATTTGGTACATCAACCCATTGTACCATAAATTTATGTTTACTACGATCATCGTCTTGACCTGATGTATGTGGTTGTAACATAACTAAAAACACAAAATAAAAATTATTCAAATAATGAAAAAAAATTTTGTAATTCAATTTAACCTTGAATATTTGCTGTGCCATGTGGTTCAAGAAAACCACTATTTGGTTTAACACAATAACGCTTCGGAGCTGTTGTTTTTATTTTATAAGCAAGTCGTTCATTGCCACTATTTGATAATTTAAGTGTTGTTGTTGATACAACATTAAATGG